AAAGTGGTAAGAACCATGGGATAAGTGTGTTTAAAGGGGGGGCTGTGGGGGTGCCAGTATTCTGAGGGAGATTTTGGCAATGTGTCTTTTACTGCAATACATTTTTAAAAATTTAAACATTCACAGTTTTTTGGGGGGGTACCAGGGATCGAACTCCGGACCTTGTGCTTGTGAGGCAGGCGATTAACCGCTGAGCCACATCGCTGGCCCCATTCGCTGTATTTTTTTGGTCACGCCTCACATTTTGGCCTTGACAGCTGAAGGGCCAGGAGAGAGGAGGGAGAGGAGGCGGAGGATCGGACAGTGGCCCCTGGGGGTTTGGGTGCCCGGTGACCGTCCCGGCCTTTGGCGGTCACCAAGGACCGTGTCCGATGGCAGGAAGATGCCTCGGCTCCAGGGTGCAGAGGAGGGCGGGGGCTGTCAGGGCAGGAGATCCCTCAAGGGTCCCGGCAGAAAGGGGCAGCCTGTGACTTGGGTGCTGAGGGCAAGTGGAAGGGGCGGGCGTCAGATGTGGAAGCAGTGAGACAGGACAATCGTCCACAGTTTAGGGCTGCGCTGGTCTCCAGATGGCAAAACTAACAGAAGCGGAGGGGCGTGCAAAGCAGGAAGAAATGTGTAACGGCAGAGAACAGCAGCTTCTAGACAGCGAGGAGGCCAGACACAAAGAGAAAGCAGCCTTTGGCATCAGAGACCTCAAGCTCTCCCCGAGCCCTGGCCCGGCTCAAGGCGCCCACCAGAGCCCCTTGTGGCCGTATCTATTACTGCAGGCTGTGCTTGAAAGAGGGGAGCCAGGACTCAGCTGGGTCACAGCCATCCTTCCCTTCATCACACCACAACTGCCTCGTGCTGATTCCCTGATAATCAGCCCATCCTTCAGGCAGCAGCCACTCCGAGGTAGGAGCTGACAAAGGGAACGTGTCTCACATCCAGGCTGCTGCGTGTCTCTAGCCCATTGGCAGTCAGATGGCAAAGTGGAACAGCGGCCACTGGACAGCCCTCTAAAAGGCTCCCTGGTGCCGGGGATTTAGCTCAGCGGTTCCGGCGCCTGCCTTGCAAGCGCAAGGTCCCGAGTTCGATCCCTGGTAGCCCCCCCCCCAAAAAAAGGCTCCCTGGAACCGCCAGGTTATTTTTGCTTTTTGGAGGCAGGATCTGGCTATGTAGCCCAGGCTGGCTTCAAACTTGAGATCCTTCTGCCTCAGCCTCCCAAGTGCCAGGATTATAGATGTGTACCACCATACCCAGCCCCTCCATCCTCATTACTGTAAGTGGGACTTGTAATCCAGGGACCGGGGGGGCCGGTGCACAGCTGGTTCTCCAAGAGCAGAAAGGCAAGGAAGCCCAGACTCTCCCCTCTGCCAGTTTAAAGAACCTGGAGTGTTATGGAGACCCACGTCTGCCACTGCTCAGTGGCACCTGCCCCACAGGTGTGCCAACATGTTGCCATCCTTCATCCTGGGGCACTGGAGGACAGTGCCCATGGGTGCTGGTGCCAGGGCCCATCTGTCATTGCCTACAGCCACCCTGGTCTGCCAAAGCCTAGGGAGCATCTTTCCGGATGTGCTGGGCTGAGGGTCAGGATCTATCGAGTCTTTTACACCGGGTGCCTTGAGGGAAATGGCCACAAGGAGGGCCTTGTCAGTGGGAAAGCTGACATGTGGTTCTTCCCACGACAGTCTCTGGTGTCACTTTGGCTTCCCCAAGACACATGTGCCAAGGTAACCAAGGGGTGCTGCTTCCGACCAAGCCTCAGACCCACGTAGAAAACTTCTACCACATTTAGGTGGTGAAGACTGCCTCAAATCCAAAGGGAGAGGGGCTGGACCATTCTCCTCTTGTAGGAAAATAGCAAGATCACCTCATAAAAGAGCATGTGCAACAGCCGTTGATTGTGACTCTCTAGAAAATACAGTTTCCCAACCCAAGTGCCCATCAATTGACAGGTGAATAAAGAAGATTTGGGGGTTTTTATACAATGGAATACTACTCTTC